GCGTGATTGGCGAGGGCAGGGCGCCAACAGCTATTTTTGCTACGTTATTTCGGTGGCGCGGGCGGTTGGTTCGTCGCAGAGCCTCGGGCGCCGCCAGAGTGGTGACAGGTTGGCCGGCTCTCTCTCCTGCTCGTACTCTCCATCTCTTCGAAGACAGTGTAAGTGCGAGGGAGCTCACACTCACAGCGTCTGTGTGTCGGTGGCCGTCGTAGCAGCCACAGGTCCCAGCTCTCGCTCTCGTATCCAGGTGCGCTGCCCCGAGGGCCGACCCGAGGGACTTCCAGGCGCTCGCCTCTGGAAGCCCAAGTGTTCCCAAAGCCAGCCTCGCCTGTGGTGCTCAGTGCCTTTGTGAAAGTGATCTCAGAAACAGAAATTGACGTGAAAGAGTGAACGTGCGTGTGATGGACTGATCTGTTCCTTCAAAAGTGCTGCTGATGATGAGTTTTTCTCTTGGTTCTAAAGAATTCATCGCACGTGGAAGGCCATTACTTGTAAAATCATGTCATGAAGCCTCAGTAAAAGAATTCAGTGCCAATGGAATTATAGAGCCTGGGTCTACGCTTTTCTTCAGCTCACTGGACGCACACATCGTAAATTAACCGCAGTGTCTGAAAGGCGATCAATCCCCCCACTACAGTCGCTTAGCCGTGTAGGATGTAAAGGAATATTATCAAGGAACCATTCACAGCATAACGTTTGGCACGCAAATTTCAAGTGTCTTCAGTTTAGAATTTACATCCCTGAATGAAAGCAACTCCCCGCACTAAAATACGCATCGTAACCTAGTTTACACTGTGCTTTGACTGGAATCACCTAAAAATACGAATGGAAAGGTTTATAGCACGATCCCTGTAAAACTGATATGTAAAGTCCTGGCTACATCAGATTTGAAATCATAAGTAATCCTATCTCGTGCATCCTAGTCTAAATATGGCAGTTATTCCTTAACTGACCAATTTAACATTATAAGATAAGAGAAAGGCACATTTATCTCCAAATAAATTCCATAAGTGAGTGAGTACCGTCCACCGGAATGATACCTGATTCCGTTTTCTATATTTGGCCCAGTGTCTCGTGACGTCACACGGTTGGCGCATGCGCAGGAAGGCGCCAGGCAAGCGAAACCAAACCCGAGCTATTCTTGGAGCTGAAGGAAGGTCAGGTTTGACCCACGCTAGGCAGGCTAGCACCTGGCCTGACTCACTTTGCCGCCAAGCTACCGCTAAATCCCACATTCATTAGAACGACCTCGTTTGGAGAACTCGCAGGACGGCTGTAATTTGGTTAACAATATTTTTTCGTATTTTCTCCTTTTCCATACCGTTAGTTTCTTCAACTCGAACTCCGTGATCACGCTGTCGAAACTCCACAAATAATACGAGTGGTTAATTGCAAGACCATTACAGTGTATATCCAACAGCAAATTTTGTTAATTTCCTCTTTTTAAACCGATTTATTTCATATTTTTAATATTTCGCGTAAGAGGAATCGGCGAAGCGCTGTGGCCTTTGCATCCACCAGTACTTTGCCTTATATGGAAGCCTTATCATGTTCCAGAGTTGCCCGTCATTTTACCTAACTTAATATCCTTTGCGGTGGTATTCTTTGAGTGAAATAACGCCATAAGAAACCGACGGGATTTTTATTTATTTATATTCATATTTTCTTGCTCTTTTCTTGGACTTGAGTGTTTGAGGAACTTGTTTAGTATGTCAGCTGTTGGTTCGACTTCGAGTATTCAGTGGGATAACTAGACAATTGCCCATTCGAAGTGTTTTGGTTCGTGAAGTGTTTTATGTTTATTGTGGAATAGAATAATGCTAAAAGTAAATGTTTCTGTTTACGTGTGACACTACTTCAGCAATGTCTTGTGGTGCATTTATTTCAAAGCGAAACCTATACAAACGTTGGTGGTCGGTTACAAACAGAGCTGTTTTCAGGCGACAAAGAAAACGGGTCCTATATGTTTAATCATGTATCCATTTTAGATGTGAACTTATCAGCCATTATAAGTTTGTGAATCTCCATACACAATGAAATTAAACTCGTGTGTTAAAACCTTCCTTACTCTTTCCAGATATAACACACCAGCACCATGTCTGACGACGAATCAGCATATTCGTAAGTATTTGTTATTATTTGGTTGTAATACTATTACTACTGTTATAAATTTTCATATACTACTGTTGTTTACTATATTATTTTGCTTAATATTCATTCTTAAAAATTAATGGCTTGAATTTAGACTGTACTTGTATATTCTGCAATCAGTTATATAGATTCCAAACACCGTACAATCAACCATAAGTAACCTAGTCAGCCCATATATTACACTAATATTTGCAGAACTCGATTTTATGTGTATATCAGAATAGGAGTTCCCCAAAAATCCCACATAGTTAGCCATTTACTTAAAGCATATTTGAACATTCGGAGTCGGATAGAAAAAATAAATAAATGAAATATCTCACTATTTTTTTCTATCTTTCCAGGGATGCCGAGTAAGTATGCCGACGGCCCGGTGTGTCTCCTCCACACACGTCGTCATTCGTGAGATACTCTGTACAGTCCTCAACCCCCAGCTCTCTTAACCCCGAACATAATCATAAAAAGTCCTTTTGTTGAAGGCCTACAACCCTTGGCTCTTCCCCATACCCCTTGTATGTTTATTATAAGCTTCAGTGACTAAAATAATATATATATATTCTCTTAGACACTCTAAACAAGAATGAAAGCCACTCTAGAAATGTGCAATGCATTGTTACTTTCCTCTTAACTCACGTATACAAATGAAATGTGAATGGGCAGCCTCCTTTCTATATAGATATACTTATTCCTTGTTAAAAGTAGGCCTATGTCCTCACAAGCGCCCTGTAGATTTGTAAAAAAAGATCATTCTTTTTTAATGCAGCCTTAGAATTCGTAAAAGTTGATATAGCGTTTCTCTTTCAATCTGTAGCTTGTAAACATTTTCTGTTTTTACTTTCTTATAAAAAAGGGCTTCTTCAGCCCAGCCAAAGTTGAAGTATCATTTATCTAGAATTAAGAAGCTGTGTAGTCCTAGAAATGTAAAATTATATTGTATTTTAGTGGTAGTAGTATCTGACCTTAGCCCTTAGGATTCAATCCCCGGTCATCAATTTCTTCATCGTGTTGAATCGGCTGTATATAAACAAAAGAAAGACGAAATCGTTGCTAGAATGAGTTCTGATCCTCTTGCCGACGCCCGAATCCTTTATCCCCCTGATTAGCTCTGTTTTGTCCTCCAAATTCCCCTTAAAAAAACTCTTGTGATCCAGCACTCTCTAAGAAGCAGATGGCATAACCCAACATCTAAAACCAAGTAAAAAAAAAACACCAATTCCGCACGCGCGTCTAAAATAACACCAATAAAACCACGAGAGAACTAAACCACTCCGAGCCTTAAGAAGCGCGGGCCGTGTTCCCCCTCGCGGATTCCAGTGATGTTCCTTTCCTTTTGTTGAATGAGAGCACTTTACAGAGCTTCCGATGAGGGAGGATATGAAGAGGAACAGCAGACTCAGCAAGTGCGAGAGGAAGTGAAAGAGAAAGTAAAGGAAGATACGGAGGACGAGGAGTAAGTCAGGAAACGACTAGCAGCCAGAGCAATTTCCTCTTTTTTTATTATCATTATTATTTTCTCTTGCGAACTTTGTTTATTATTTTCGAGATTTTCGTTTCGTTTCTCTCTATTTTTGCTCTCTTTTTTCTCTTGTTTCCAAAAAAGACCTTCCATCTAGACGAAGTTATTCTAGCTTATATTTTTTGTTCCTCCGCTAGTTCTTCTTTAAAAAAGATTATGATTTTCCTTCACACATTCGGCCATTGTTTGAGGACAGCAGCGTGCGTTCAAACAAGGCTCTTCTCGTTAGTCATTTAGCAGAAAAGCAACATTTTCCGGGGCCAGAAGTGCGTGGACCGAGACCTAGACGTAGCAGTTCCTGCTAGAGTTCCTGAAGATAACATTTGCACGTGGAGGTCCTCGTCTAACCACGCTGGCCAACTTCAGGCTGCGCGTGTCTGCGAACTCAGAATGATTGCATTAGTATATTTTCCATACATTTTAACCTTTAGATTAACTATTTTATCATTTAATCTAATTAGTTAATACCCAACACTGACGTATCCGGAATATACAGAATCCTATCCTGAGTTTGTTTCTCGCGGAATCTGAGTTGGCCCATTGGGTCTCATCCCAGAGTCAGGGAATCCTGTGTTCTGTAATCGCTGCTTCTGCGCCTTCAGTCTCTTGATAACAGAAACACATGTGTTCACTTTTCACTCCATTCGAATTTGAAAAATACAAAATACGATTACTAACTTCTCTTACGTTCCTCTCTTCGTCACGATCTCTGCCATGTCTTTTAACAAAGAAACAATACTAGTAAAAACACGTTATTCCAAATTCTCGCCTCAGAGTCTGCAAACTCTAACTGACTTGTGCTTGTAAATGTTCTCTCTGTTATGTGCTAAAGCTACGGTGTTATCCTCCCTGCGTTGGCCATGTGACTTGTTACGATGAAAAGCAGATATGTTGCACATGCCTGTTCCGTCTCACTTCTATGATTGCACCGCATGTAAACGACAAAGCCCCGACCTCCTGTGGCGCCAGCAACAGTCCCGTGCCCCTCCGTCCGTGTCACACTGTGTCGACTCAACACACCCTCAGAACACCTCACCTTACACCCTCTTTGTACATACTCCCTCCTCTTATTTTTCTGTCGTCTTAATGTTTGAGTTCATGCTTCCTGTTTGCCGTTTGAGACGTAGTTAGTGCAATGTTTGTAGTTCATTTTGCTACTGATGAGTAAGCTAGTCTGGGCATCTTATAACTATCGTAGAAGCTTGATTTTATTTCTTTCATGTCCCCCGTACAAGCTTTATACATGTGGCAATGTGGTATTAGTTGTTGTAGTATCAGACTCACATTGGAATTGCCATTTGATCATATCCTCTTTGTTTAATTAAGCTTGCTCTTTATTTTGCCATGAACTTAGCATGATAGTATAGATAATACAAGTAGTAGTATTTCCATCTTTTTCTCTCTTTCTTTTCTACTTTGTTTTGCTGATATAGTTGGGTACCATCACCCCGGTAGTTAGACCACTAACCTTTGCTCGTTGGTTCTTTCTCTTTACAGAAAGTACGTATATGCTCGCCAGTCGAACATACCTTAGTGTCAACAATGGTGACTGATTCCGCCAACCCTGACACCTTTCCCATCAGCTGATGTGCTGCCTGGCCCATCAGTTCGCCGACCTTGACATAACCACTCACCCATTATTTTATTACTACACGCTCACTAATGCCCTATGATGGGGCGATGTGCTTAGTGCTTATGAGTGTTTCTTTGTTCATTTATCTTCAGTTATTTTCGTATTTCTAATTATTTTTTTTTAGATAACGCCGTGTCTTAATTTATGTTTGCATTTATTGTTCCAAACTAAATGGTGCAGATAGCAGTATTAAATAGCCAGTCTTTTTATTTTTAATCTTTATTTTAATTATTTTCAGTTTTAAAGTATGCTTATTTGTTTTGCTAATGATTTATCTACTAAAATGCATCAACAATTTAGTTAAAAAGGTTAATACATGCATGAATATACAAATTATTTTTTTAAAAAAATTATCTTCCTAACTTGCAGAACAGAATCGTCTTCATTTTATTATTAACACAGAAGTCTCCCTCGTTAACCATAGATATATTTCACATGTATATATTTATAAAAGTCTCTTGCATGGTGAAATAAAAATTCGTTTTTCAGTCCGAGAATTGCTAACGTCCACATAAACCTCGTTTTCCTTATATCCAAAAATGATATATGGGAATTCTATATACATATATTCATCCCTTTATATTCCTCAAAGGCAAAATATCTGATTTGCTCCTTTGTATCTGTAATCAGTGTTTTAATAATTAATAAAATCTTATTCATTGATAAGATTTACCCCAACAAAGCCGACAATGTGCCTCATTTTCCTCATCTTTTTCTTCCTCATTAGGATGTGATATTAATGCGATTTTTTTTACTTTCTTCCTTTCATCTCCGTCGCTGCCCGTCTACAGGAGGAGGAAGAAGTAAGTGTTTGTGGCTTAGTTTATTTTATTATGTACTTTATTTCATTATGTACTTTCTTTGATTCCCATTTATTCATTTAGAGTTGTTACTTTTTTAAGATCATATGTTCCTCTTTTCTAGGAATATTGTCAGATAATATATTCAGATATATAAATTTTGGAAATTCACTACTTTATTTTTTCATATTTTATCTTAATAAACAGTTGTATATATTTCTCTTGCAAACGTCAAATCTTTTATTCTGATTATATCCTATATTTTCTATCTATCTACCTTTCTGTCCATCTATCTATCTGTGTATATCTATCTCTATCTATCTATCTGTCTGTCTCTCACTGTGTCTCCCAATTCCTCCCCCCACCCTCTCTCTCTCTCTCTCTCTCTCTCTCTCTCTCTCTCTCTCTCTCTCTCTCTCTCTCTCTCTCTCTCTCTCTTCTCTCTCTCTCTCTCTTCTTCATTTCTCCCTTTTCTTTTCTCTCCTTTTCTTCTTAACCTTCTTTCTCTTATCCCCACCTCCCCTCCTTCCCTCCCACCTCTAATTCCCTCTCCCCATCTATATATCTTACTCTCTTTCAACCTTCTATCTTGTATTCCCACCCTTATCTCCTCCCCCTTTATCACATCCCCCCTCTTTTCCCTCTCCCCATCTATATATCTTACTCTCTTTCAACCTTCTATCTTGTATTCCCACCCTTATCTCCTCCCCCTTTATCGCACACCATCTAACCCTCTCCTTCCGCCGCAGGGGAGATGAGGGGGCCAACTTCCTTAAGAACCGCCAGCAGATGAAGATGTCTGAGCTGGACGAACAGCTGGCAGAATACATCGCTGAGTGGAGGAAGCAGAGATCCAAGGAGGAGGATGAGCTCAGGAAACTCAAGGAGAAGCAGGCAAAGAGGAAGGTGAGGAAGAGGGGAAGAGGGAAAAGGGGAATTGAGAGAGTGAGAGAGGGGAAGGGAGGGAGAAAGGGGAATTGAGAGAGTGAGAGAGAGGAAAAGGGAATTGAGAGAGTGAGAGAGGGGAAGGGAGGGAATGAGAGAGGGAGGTATAAACGGAGAGAGGGAAAAGAAAAGCAATTGAGACAGTGAGAGAGAGAAAAAAAAAACAATTGAGAGACATAGTGGGCGAGAGAGTGTGAGAGTGGAAAAGAAGTTAACAGATATAGTAGAGATAGAAAGAGAGAGAGAGGAAAATAAGTTGAGAGACATGATAAGAATGAGAAGATGAAAAGAAAGAAATATATTTCCCTCGCCCTCTCCTTCAGCGACTCACGCCTCCTTCCCCTCCCACAGATCCTCCGCGCTGAAGAGGAGAAGAAGCTGACCGAGCAGAAGAAGGCCGAGGAGGAGCGCAAGCTTCGCGAGGAATCCGAGAGGAAGCAGAAGGAACAGGAAGAGAAGAGGAAACGCCTCGAGGAAGCCGAGAAGAAGCGCCAGGCCATGATGAAGGGATCCAGCGTAAGTTGCAAAACCCTCTTTGTGAGATTTTTTAGTGGATGGAAGGAAGAGAGAGAGAAAGGTTTGCAGGAGGTGCCGGTCATGTCGGCGGCACTCCCGGACACCACACACTGTCTAAATTTGATTTGTTGGACAGGAGATATTACGAGGGCGCGCCTGCGCTCTTCGTTTCCACACTGGACATCATTCTGCTCCTGAATATGTTATTGGATTGTCATTATATTTGCCTTCGATGCTTAAATTACATTATTTTTCTCTCTCATTTCAAAGTTGATCCTCATTCACTCCCGTAGGATTCACGAAATAGCACGTTGCAATGGCTATCATAGCTTAGACGTAGTCCAACCTTGCACCACAGCTAGCGAGTACATGTTCCCGCCAACAGTACCCCATGAATCCCCCGGTTTCCCCACCAACATTCCCTTCCATGGACCCCAAGACCACCAACAAGGTCCATCCTCTTAGAATCGGAAGCTTTTTCCCCCAATGCTATTTCCCCGTCAATAGGCTTACAATTCGAAGCTTTTCCCCAGAGACACAGATGATTGGAAACCCTCTGGCTCGGCGCTTAATAGCATCTTGCCTTAGCTTAGGTTGTTCCTTCGAGCGGTGGCTGACTGTTCAATGACATGACACTTACGATACACCTACTTTGCACCCACCTAGCCCTTGAGAGGTTCACCTAGCCCTGTAGCAGCACTCAGACTGCCATGGGGTTCAAAGCAGTAGAGCTTAGGTTCGTCGGATTCAACATCTCAGACCTTCGTACCCTGCTTCGAGACTATAGACGAATGAGGCTGTTTAATATAGTAGTTCAGTGAGCATTTATTATGCGGTAGTTCAGTAAAGACGAATTAAGCATTAGTTCACCACCAGAGCAAATTGAAAGATATAAACAATATTATTTTCGCCATGAGGTCTGAAGAGGTCTGCAAGGCTCGTGCTAGCGAAGCCAACTGGAATGTTGAATCTGATAACCGATAGTTATGCATCATAGGAATGCATGGTGCAAGGTGATGAAGCTTGCATATTTGAGAAATAGACTTAATGGATATTCTCCATTAGATATTGATGATGATGTATAATCCTCGTGTGATGAATTCCATTATACATCCTTAAATGGAGACGAAAAAAATGTAGCTGTTTTTATCATGACTTTTTTCCTCTCTCCTTTTATTATTTTTAATAGCTTTTCTTAGTGTTATTTCAGACAGATTTATTTTGTATAGAACAAAATGTTCCCATCCGATTTTCATTTTCTTTTTCAGGAGGTGAGAAACTCATTCTCCTGAAGAAATGGATAATTATATTCCCCGTAGAAAGTATATGCACGCTCCCCAATTTAAGCCCAACAGCTGATAACTGAATACTCCTGCCCGTATTTCCAGAAAGTTCTCTTTAACCAACTTCACTCATTTAACATGGAAGAGTTTCTCGTGCTGGTTGGTTTGGTTTGGATTGCCTTCGTGATAACACCATCTTTTTCTCTCGCATTTCATACTTTCTTTACAGTTTAACAAGTTTCTTTCATTCCGTAAATATTGTGGCAATATATTATTTGTTTCTGTTTTATTTTTTGCATTGATTTCTTCTTTCTTGCCCACTATCTTGTGCTCCCCCCGCTCGCCCCCTTAATTTTTTGTCCAAGACACAACAAATCGTGATCTCGTTCAGTTTCCCCTCCGAGGTTATTCATAAAGAAAACGGAGTGCAGGAGGAAACCCATTTTCTATGTTACACCGTGATTTCCATATAATGTATGTGTGGCCCTCCCTTTTTTATCTTTATTCTGCGTGATTCTGTTTTGCTCTTCTTTCAGACACCTGATTGTTGGTCATTGGGTTCACTGTATCTGTACTTTACTATGTAATCCTCACCACTGACTAATATGGTGTTGTACTCTATGTAAACGTGTTCTATGTGGCAGTTTATATATATATATATATATATATATATATATATATATATATATATATATATATATATATATATATATATATATATGTATGTATGTATGTATGTATATATGTATATATATTTATGTATGTATATATATATATATATATATATATATATATATATTTATTTATATTACATATATATACATATACATATGTATACATATGTGTATATATATATATATATATATATATACATATATGTAAGTATATTTGTGTGTGTGTGTTGCGTGTGTATGTGTGTGTATATGTATATGTATATACATATATATATATATATATATATATATATATATATATATATATTTATATATATTATACATATATATATATATATACATATATGTATGTAGTGTGTGTGTGTGTGTGTATGTGTGTGTGTGTGTGTGTTGTGTGTGTGTGTGTGTGTGTGTGTGTGTGTGTGTGTTGTATGTATGTATATATATATTATAATATATATATATATATATATAATATATATTATATATATATATATGTATTATGTATGTATGTGTATATATATTATATATATATATATATATATATATATATATATATATACATATGTATATATATACATATATATATATATATATATATATATATATATATATATATATATATATATATATATATATATATACAACACACACAGACGTTCAAATCAAAACTATTTTGGAGCTATTACTCTCACAAAAGATATCACAAACGAAAGTCATGTACATAGCCTTTGTTATGATCATAAAGACAAGACTAAACAATGCACAAGAGCCTAGCAGTTGGAATGCAAGACACCGCTGCCTCCGCCTCTCGTTCTTCGCTCTGACACACTCTCTTCTTCCAGGATGGCGTCAAGAAGTTCGGCGTCAAGAGCGGTGGTGACAAGGTGGGTTCCTTAAGAAGTTGGTTTGATGGATATATATTTTTTTAAAGGTGAATGGATAAAGATGGATATGTATAAAGAGAAAGCTGTAATATTGTCGTTTCGAACAAATTTGATAAGTGTTTCAGTTCCTTCCTCTTTCCTGATTTTCTTTGATCACTTATCCAGTCTCTCCTTAATCCCCTCATTTATTCCCTGTATCTGTCACTCCCTCCCCCCTTCCCCCCTGCCCTAACTCCCCGAATCCTCATCCACTCCCTCATTCCCTATTCCCGATACCCCATACCCCAAGACTCATCCACCCTTTTACCCAATTCCCCGATACCCCAACGCCCCGAATCCTTATCCACCCCCTCATTCCCTATTCCCCGCTACCCCAACGCCCGAATCCCCACCCACCCCCTCGTTCCAACACCCCGCTACCCCGACGCCCCCGCCCCCTCACTCCACGTGAGACTGACGCCGCCCTCTCTCCCCGCCCAGTTCTCCAACATCCAGGCGGCCAAGGGCGAGCTGGGCAAGACCCGCGAGCAGCTGGCCGAGGAGAAGAAGATCGCGCTGTCCATCCGCGTGAAGCCCCTCTGCGTCGACGGCGTGGGTGCGTCCGCCCTCCGCCAGAAGGCCGAGGAGATGTGGAACCTCATCATCAAGCTGGAGACGGAGAAGTACGACATGGAGGAGAGGATGAAGCGACAGGACTACGATGTAAGTGGGCTGGCTGGAGTAGATGGAGGAGGAGGAGGTGTCTGGGTGGAAGTAGGTGGAGAAGGAGGAGGGAGGGAGGAGGAGGAGGAGGAGGATCTACTGGAGGAGTAAATGGGAATTAAGTCAAGTTGATTTCATTAATATTTTCGTTCATTTTGATCTTAATAGTCTTAGATTAATTCTCTTTCCAATCATTTTGATAATAATTTGCCAATCACTGACAAAGAGTACATTATGATTATCAGTTTGTTCATATGTTGAATTTTCTGGAATACACTTGCACATAACAATTAACTTATTCGATCAAAGTCTGAACCATTGTTAAAATAACCCTCAATGTCCATTATCCAACCCGATGTTCCTTTCCAGCATGTTATTTTAAGGAAGTCATTCTATTTTTCGTTTTAATTTTTTACATTTTTTGACAAGCTTTTAATCAATCAACCTTTTTATTTTGCTTCCTACCACCCCTTTCAACAACAACAAAAATGCTATGCCTGTAATGCTGTCCACCAATCCAGATTTAAGCCATTGGCCATCAACGTGCATGACACTATGAAATCGGTTAACATTTTTTTAACCTCCTTTGCAATTCTCATATTTTTCCGCCCCCAAAATCTAAAACCAAAAACGCTGGATATTTTTGAGTTTTTGGATGACCACCCGAATTTTTTGGGCTTCAATTTATTTTTCCTTTGCCTTTTTTTCCCCATCTTTTTTTGGCCAGTGCATGACCCGAAATATTTTTTCAAGGGATCAGTAATTTTTTTTCTGTATCCTTCAACTGAAAAAAAATGTGAATGAAAAAGGAAAATGTCCAAAGAAATCACGAGACGAGCCCTGCATGTACCCGGTCCTTGAGATCCAAGAAAAGAAAGACGAGAGGAATCCTTATTTTCTTTTAAAGGAAAGTGTCATTTACAAGTTCACTCTAAACCCGCGAAACACACTCTCTTTTCTCTTAATACATCTATCTTAAATAAGTACCCATTGCTATCAAGTGGCTTATAAATGACACTTGGGGGAAAAAAGTAAATAAGTTTTTTCCCTCTTACAAGACGAACAGTGATTCGTTTGCCCAGAAATAATCAACCGGGAGCGAATTCCTGGGTTTTCCCCCGTTAACAGACCTTCCACGAGTATGTAGTCTTACCTGGACCGGTGCTCCTCTTAAACTTCCCTGGTACTTATATTCTTTCTTAAAACAAGGCAGGCTCTTATCGGTAGCGTCCTTAGGCTTTTTATTCTTTTTTTTATTCTACATTGTTTTTAAGATATCCAGAGAATCTTTCTTTTTTTCTACAAAATGATTTAGAAAAAAGGAATCGCAATTAACAATGCCCTCTGGGTTACCCATATTACAGCTGAAGGAGCTTAGGGAACGTCAGAAGCAACAGCTCAGGCAAAAGGCCTTGAAGAAGGGTCTTGATCCCGAGTAAGTCCTAAAACCGAGCCAGTCAATCGCTCACTCGCTCATCTCACCTTCACCAAATGTCAGTTCTCATCTCCTTTTATGAAGCATCGGTGCATTTCTAAAGAGATCGTCTCGACAGGCTCATCAGACTTGAACAGATTCTCTCAGCATCTTGAGTTCTCACATTCGTCTCTTCGGGGGGGGGGGGGGGAGGGGAGGGAGGGAAGGGGAGAAAGACAGGGAGTCGGAGAAACTACGGCTTCGGTGCGAATTCCCGCCAATTATTTTCTTTGCCAATTTTAACTAATTTTCTGCATGGCTGATCTGCGACTAACCGGTATATGACATGCTATTAGATATGACTTAATTAGACCACTTGTTCTTTTTTATAAAGAAAATGGTAAAACTATGTTGTTCCCTTTCTGTATTTTGTAGAATAGGTTGTGACAATCAACCTTTTCTTAGAAAAGAAATACCCACTTATTCTAAAAAAAAGAAATCTGTATATAAGGTATTACTCTAGAACACTAACAAAACCCCTGACCACCAGAACGTCTTTTCTTCGTGTTTGCCAACCCTGACCTCTTACGACCTCTTTTGCCCTAAATAAGCCCCTGCGCAGCCTGCGACGAGGAATCTCTTTGACCCACGATTTTGTGCTATGGTTTTACAGCTGAAGGAGTTGAAAGAGCGTCAGAAGCAACAGCTCAGGCAAAAGGCCCTGAAGAGAGGCCTGGAAGCGGAGTAAGTCCTTTGGTTACACATCTTCATCTGCTTCAACCAAACAAAGCAATCTCACTTTTTTTCTTTTGTCTCTCTCTCTCTCTCTCTCTCTGGCTTTACCGGATTCAGATATTTGTTGCATGGGACCTCACCCTCGCTCTTTTTTTTATTATGATGTATATTTTCTTTTTTTGTAATTTGCCCTTTTTATTTCGCTCGGCATAAAAGGGGCTCCATGATTTTACAGATCATGTGGCCTTCTTTGGTCGCTTTATTTTGTGAGGAAACGTTATTTTTCTTTTTTAAACAATTTTATATATGGATTAACTTTTAATGATCTGTTCATTTTTTCTAATTTTTATTTCATCATCTGTTCATTAGTTCTATTTTGTGTTCTTCACTTTTTGTGGAAAGAAATTGTCGTCGTTTGATATACTTACGAACGGTTCGTCCAATGTGTGACGTCATCATGTCTTATCGTCTGTGCGCTTCTTACGAAAACGCTATCACGTCGTCCGGTGTTCGTTGTGTCTTGCCTGCAGTTCTTCCACCTTTTTTTCCTTTTCTAAATATTCTTTTAAAACTCTAAGTTGATGTCCATGTTGTTCACACGCAGTAGAATGAGTTTTGTGCATTCTACTGCTATCCTAAAAATTAATCATAAAAAGCGCGAAGTACCTATTGGTAATTTTGCTAGGCTTAGATTTCTTAAAAAAATAAAAGACGTACGTTATTTCTTCTTCTTTTTCATTGATAGTGTCAATAAATGCAAGATCAAATCCGTTTCTTCCGCACTTTATCGTTGTCTTGCGCCGGCAACTCAAGAAATCGCGGTTTCCCTTTTCTCTTACCCCCTTTCTTCGTCTCTCTTTCGTAATTCTTATTCTCCTTTACTACCTCTACCTGGCAAACTTTCCTTAACTAATATTTCTCTACGGCAGAATAAGAAAGGTTTGGAACCTGTGTAGTCTCCTTAGAAGTAAATATAAACAAGCAGTAGAGTATAAAACAGAGGTAGTTTTTGGTGTGATGTAAATAGTCAAAAAGAAAAGTACAGGTAAATAGATCCATTTGTGTTTTGCAGTAGTTTCATAGAGTAATTAGTCTCCTTAGATTTTGGTAATAGATTTTACTGGTTACCTTTTCACGGTTCGTTTTTTTTTTTATCTAGAGACAAACCGGATTGATTTCGGATGATGGTAATTCTTTTAAGTTTCAAAAACAGGATTGCTCGTTCTAACAATCATCACAGGTATGATTACTCTCATCTCAAACTAGAAAATGAATTATCTAAATTTGCACAGTATGGTATCATTTGTCATTTCACCTGTAGGTTTGTACACCTGCACATGTCGATAGCTGTAATGGTCACAGAATTAGCTATCATGATCGCTGAGCAAAATTATTCATTCTTTTCCTTAGACCGCGGAAACAACAGTACACAATCGGGTTACACGAATTTCATATAGCGAATGAGGATCACTTTTAGCATGTTGCCGTGTAGGTCATTCACACCGCTAGGCCTATCGGACTCATTCTCGGCTTTTTGGCTTTGTGTGGCAGCGGTAAAACAAGAACGTTTAAGAATTCACCTATCTGTTATACATCGAAGAAGGATCTGAATAAGGAATCAAAATCAAAGGTCAAATTAGAAAGAAAAAATGAAAATTCAAAATTCAGAGTTCCATTTGATGAAGTTTTTCCTTGCTCTCTTAGCGCCCACAGGCCTAAAAGTCTCAGAATTTGGTCCGCGTGTCTTCCTCATCAAATGAAAAGAATGCGTTGTCTATATATAAATGTTTTCATGTTCAGTTTGTCCAGACTCTAATATACATGTTTTGTTTTTTGTATATGTATTCTTATTTTTTTCAATATTCATTTATTTGGGTCATTTGACAATAAAGGACTAACCCAGCTCTTTAAAATGCTAACTTAACGACATGTTCATGTTATTAATTTTCTTCTTTTTTTGAAAACATAATTAGCGTCTGGATTTGACTTTGAGAGCAGTTTCGTATTAATGTCATCAAGGTACTTTAAGTAATTCCGAAAGGTTTGCACCCAGAAGGAAGTTTTTGGTACCGATGACTTTAATAAGAACTATTGTGTCTCGCAACTACAATACATAACGGCCTCATTTGCATAAACAGCTTGTATGGGATCTCACTGACATTTCTTTTAGTTCATTTCATTTCTCGTTTTTTTAATTTCCGTTTCTTGTTTCTAGATTTCCTTTGAATGATATATTGAAATGTGATATATGAGTATAATGGCGGAGTATTCTCTACCATTTTCATTAACTAATCGCTTCCCCTTGCGTTCCATCAGGGCTCTCACCGGAAAACACCCGGTAAGTTCCGCATTGGATAAATTTCATTAGTTTACGTTCTCGTTTCATATCTTATTGAGTTTATGTAATCTCCCATTTTAGCGTTTGTTAGCAGCTGAACATTCACTTTTAAATGAGATGTTTATTCATGAAACCATATTTTTTCTGCTTATATTGGCACATTATATTTAGATTAATTCCTCTTTTTAAATATAAATAAATAAATATAGATAGAGAGATATAGATATAGATATTCAAGAAAACAATACGTTGAAGAGAGATTAAATACAACCCACCGTTCCCTTTTTCTTGCTTAGGGGAAAATTTACCCAATGACCCGCCATTATTTAGGGGAAAAAGCCCGCGCTAAGCCCCCCTTTTCCCCCAACAGCCAAAGATCCAGACCGCCTCCAAGTTCGAGCGACGCACAGACAGGAGGACTTATGACGACAAGAAGAAACTTTTCGAAGGTGTAAGTATTTTTCTTTTCTTTTCATTCTTTCTCTCTTCGTGGAGGCGACACTTCTTCTACAGTCTTTCTTTTGGTTTTGTTTATATTCTCTTTTGGTTGCTGATGAATAGGTACTTATTATCTTATGGTTTGTTTACTGTTTTATTTGAACACAAAATTTGCTTTATTAATGTCCATTTGGTTTGCGTCGTTCAGTCTGTTCGACGTAAACACTAAAAAAAAAACATTTTATTTTAGTTTATTATTTCTACTTGGCTTTTGAAAAAAATGTGAAGTATATTTATTTTTTAAGATTTATTATTAAGTTCTATTAATAGTTAAGTTATCTTAAGTTATTTAAGTTAAGGTTTACTTTCCATACATTTCTTTTTTTCCTTTCACATTTCCTTTCGATCTCTTGGACAACTATTAACCTTTCAATGGCTTCTTTTTCTAATTGACTCTACAAGATTCTTATATAGTAGGTAGATCATTTTTAGCTAATGATCACACGCTATTTAAAAAAGTAATGTTTCTTGTCACACTTCTCTTTTTCAATTTATTTCTTTGTGCCTAATCTGTAGACGGCTTCTTTTTCTCTCTTTCTAATATCTGGAAACGACAACTAATATCTTCAACATGAGTAGAGTAAACAAAAAAAAATCGCAATACGCTAGGTTAATTCCCTTTGAAAACGAGAGAAATCAAAATCTGGATGAGATTTCAAAAGAGTTTTTAAAAAAAAAAGTTCAAGTCAAGGTATACTTGTGAAGTTCTTTCCGTAAGACACACAATCCAGTGCCGTCTCGCCTTACACACAGGGTTGGGATATAGTTATCAAGGAAGACATGGAGAAGCTGTGGAAGGAGAAATACGAAGAGTTCATGTCAAGGACAAAGAGTGAGTAAAAAAGGGTTACTGGATGATCAGAAACGCTTTGTTGCTGCGCTAGATCCTCTCTTTATTTCTTTTATTTTCGTCCGTTTTTTGGCACTGCTCCTGCCTCATAGCGTATCCTTACTCGAAGTACCGTTTGGATACTTCCTCGTCTACTTTCCGTTTCGTCTTTTTCTTTTCTTTTCTTTCGCTTTCTTTAGTTTAGAGGAGTTCTCAAAGGTGAGAGTTTGTCCAGCGCCTTCCCTCCCCCTTTCTCTTTTTCTTTCCTTAATGACCTGGTGACATTTACCACCAGGGCTGGGAAGTTGTTCACAAAGAAGTTCTCCAGAAACTTTGGGAGGAGAAGTATGAAGAGTTTATGGGCAGGACGAAGTGTAAGTACAAGAGTTGGTGACCCTCTCAAAGCCAACCCCCAAGCCCCCCCCCCCCGGTGTCCTTCCCCGTCTTTTTCCCACTCTAAAAGAAAACACACACTTCCTTGTGGTGAATTCCTGCGGAGTGCGTGCGTTGCCGTCAGCCCTTCTCTTTCTGGTGTTGGCGACGCCACGGTCTGGCCCCCTTGCCCCTTCATCGCCCCCCTTTCTTACTTTTTATCCCTTTATGACCTCCAAAAAACACTTGTACCTCCAGGGCTGGGAAGTTGTACACAACGAGGAGCTGGAAAGGTACTGGAAGGACAAATACGAAGAGTTTGTCAACAGGACGAAGTGTAAGTACGGGCGGCTAACACTGGACACTGTGTTCAAGAGAGCAGGAATGGCCCATGGCGTCGCTCGCTCGTAGTTTCAGAGTAGACGTTGAGACTCCGCCGCGGACTTGACACGATGACAGCGTGTCCTGCGGTCGGTCTCGTACGCGTGCCAGGGACTCCCACGAGCATGACTCGCATGGTCCGGTGAGGGATGACCTCAGGGGCAGGCTACTGAGTGCATGACAGGGTGTCCAAAGCACGGCGTATGGAGAGGGACATGCGTGCACACACACACGTGTTAAGTCTGCGGCAATGGGAGAGGGGAGAGAGAGAGAGAGAGTGAGCAAAAGGGCCAGAGATTCTTGTCTTCAGCTCCTCATGCTGCGCCCTCTCTCCCTCCACCTCCCCATCCCCGCTCATGTAGTCCCCCTCCCCACGCTCCCACGTGGGAGTGTGGAGTAGTAGTTCCATCCCCCCACCACTCCTACCCCCACTCTTATCTTTCGCGAAATGACCCTTCAAAGCTGACCTTGGATCATTCCAGTATCTAGCGGACACGGCTGCGTCCCCTCCACACAAAGCCTGGTTTAACGCCAATGAAGCAAGCAAAGATATCCGCTGACTGATCTAGTCTTGTTTATTTTACTCAATTTCAGCTATTTATTTGGTTGATAAACGTTTACCCTTGCTATATTGCCAGTAAGACCCGCCCCTCCATTTTATTTCAATGCTTCTTTTAGCTAAGTCCTTCGAGAATCACTCCCCCCCCCTCCCTTCTCAACCTTTCATTTTGAGAATTTTATCGTTACGATTTTGTAATGACGCAACGCCTCCTTTTTGTCTAAATAGTGACGAGGTAAAGATTTTTTCGCTTTTTTTAATTTCTCAAAGAAAACTCGTTTTGTACTTTTATCTCAGCAGGAAACTCGGGCCATGACACCTGCATTTATACATATTTAGACTTTTTTCCCCAGCACCCACATACATCCACGCAAATGTGAATCCATTCCCCCCTCTTCCCCCCTTTTGTTTGCCCCCTTTGACTCCCCTTCCCCTTTTTTTTAAAATGTGTGCCCCGCCCCCACCACCGCCGCCTTCCCGCGCGTTTTCTAACGGTTTTCGGGTGACCCTTATTTTTCTTAAGAGAAGAATTTGTAAAACCCTCCCTCCTGTTTTATGATCCGACTGTGGACTGTGAAACTAAACTGTCCCTCTCTGTTTGCTTCCTCTCAGGGACTTATTGACACTGCGGGAGAAGAGCGAGAGAGGAAATGGAACGAGCTTAAATCGTTATTTGAGTCCCGCCAAAAGAGTAAGTTGGAGAAGAAGCGGGTGAACTCCGTGCATTCTCATTGGCGCTACTTCGGTCATTTTTATTTTATTTCTCCTGTCTGGAATAATCACTGCTACATTATTATTATCATTACTGTTATTATTAATCGTCGTTATTATTTATTTTCACTTATTATTATCATCTTAATTTCTTCTTTATTTTCGGCTGCATTTGGATGTATTTCAAGAAATTATTTTCCAACACAAAGTTACTGTTACAATAACCCTTGATTTTCCAACATGGCGCCCATACTGATCGCGCGCTGCTTAACAAACATTTCGTTTTCTTTTATTTGTGTACTTTCCGGCCGCAGTTACCCAACCTTCTGGCCAGACGGGCACATATTTTTATTCTTATTAATGATACGTTACTATTATTATTTTATTTCAAGTTGCTTTCCTCTCTACGCTCTCGCAAAACTACTAAAAAGTGAATATGGCGTCGCAGATGCATGCTTAGTTATTTTCCACGTAGTTGATGGTGACAAACAAGTCATCATCGTATGACAAAGGTTCATGAAGGTTTATCCTACTGTATGATTCCTGCCAACCGAGCTACGTGTCTGCAGTAGGTCTTCTTGTGTGGATGAAGAGTAGTGTACATGTCTTTTTTCAGCTTCATTAGCACTGCGCATGCTTCCTCCAACTCATTACTGACGGTCATTTTCATATATTCACTGGTGATGCTATGTCCCCGTGTATTCTCGTCTGAGAGTAAGTATACATATATTGGATGATGTAATGTGTATATTTTTTTAGTTTTGTTCAATCCCTCTTTATTGATATAGAAAATCTGTTGTTGTTTTTCTGTTGAGTTGAAATTATAATATTGTAGTTGGTATATATATATTGAGCTATTCGTCCGTTGTGAAAATATTGGTATACATTAACCACGGAGAAGGAGCGTTGCCTTTTCCAATAAAGTTTAAAGTAGAGCCCCAGTCAGTCCAAGTTTTGCCTGAACTGAGAGTCACGTCAACAAAAGAGAAACCGGTCATGCAAAAGGGAAAAGGTCCAAAGCTCCTTCCCCGCGCCGCGTCCCGCCCACGCCCATCTAACGTATCTAACGCCCCTCCTCACCCCATAGCCAAGCTTCCCAAGTGGTTCGCCCGGACAAAGTTCCAGGCAAGAAGGAGCCGGTGACCCCGAATCCCCGCCGAAGGGAAGAAGGGCGGTGAGGAAGACGAGATGCCACCTGAGCTCGTGTTACGAGAGAGGAAGAAGAGGAAGAAGAAGAGGAAGAGGAGGAAAGAGACGGAAGAGGAGGAGGAGGAGGAAGAAAAGAAGAAGAGGAAGAGGAAAGAGAGGGAGTAAGTAAGGTCATGATACAATACCCGTAGATAAAACCGGAATGAAATAGGTCCTAATCGAAATGAGAAATCTGGTTTCCCAGCTTGTTGAGAGACTTGGATGTCTGATTGTGATGATATGATGATAATAAAATCAGATGTCTTTGGATGTCGCGTCGCGTTTTATTTTGATTGCCGTCATAGCATGTGTAAGCATAACTCCGTGGGCTGTGCATACGTTGTACTGTGCATCTCGTGACTGTACATCAGCGAGCAATAAAAGAGATCCAACTGAGTCTTGTTCGTTTGTTTCAGGTTTTCCTCTTCAGCGGCCTCTCTCACTCTCCTTCATCCACCGACATGTCGTCACATTCTCACTCTCTGTGTTGTTAACATCTTTATGTCTGTATTCTATAACAAGTTTGTTTTACTGTTTATGGAGTTAATAATTCACGATTCTGCTGTTTTAAGTTCTCTCTCACTCTCCTTCATCCACCGACATGTCGTCACATTCTCACTCTCTGTGTTGTTTAACATCTTTATGTGAATATTCTAACAAGTTCTCTGTTTTATGGAGTCAACGATCAGTTGGTTTTAAGTTATCATTATTATTATCATCATTATTATTATTATGATTATCATTATTATTACTGCGATTATTGGTTGGCGGTTAGTTAGTCAGTGGTGGAGGCGCGAGCCCGGCGCCACGACGCTCCAGCTTTGGACGAAGCTTTAAGACCCGCCTGACGGAGGTCCCTCGCCCGCCGCCAGGCTGCGGCTGCGGCCGGTGGTGTCCCGCGGCGGCGGCGGCCTCCCTCCCTCCCCGCCGCGCTGTACAAACTCACACCACCACCACCGCGCCACGCACCGCCCGCGCGCGCCCGTGCCCTCTGCTCTGGCTGCTGTGGGCGACCACACGCCCACAAAAGGCTTGGGGCACGGCCCGGGAGGGGCTCGGCGGCCCCCCAGCCCTCCGCGGCGCCCCTCCCCAGGCTGCCGCATCCGCCCACGCCGGGCGCAGGGGCGCGGCCGCGGGCGGTGGCGGCTCCCAACATACTGTCACGACACCCACCATAATTGGTCACTAACTCCCATCTTGTGTTCTCCGTTGATCAAGGATATTATGTTCCTTCTACAATGCTAGTTTCTTTCAAAATAAAAATGTCAGACATACGTTCCAACCTTATTATCCCACCTGACCCGGGTCCTGCACACGCACACGGGGGGAGGCTTCGCAAGGGCGCCGCCTCGCGCTGACGTGCAGAGAGAAACACAACAGACGCTTCCACCCCATGTATGTGCTGTATGGTCGTCTTCCACTGTCATGAATATGGAAGAAAACACCATTTTTTATATTAAAATCATATGATCCCAACCCATCATAAATTGAGAAAGAATTATCTAAATACTATACTAAATACTACATAGTTACAAAAAATAACAACACATATACACATTATTCCGCCTTTATTATGATGGAATGTGATATTCTTGCCAAACCATCCACTCTGAGGAGAAACCATTATGCAAAAATAGAAAGAAAAACAGAAAAAAGAAAGATGATAACATAAATATACGGCCAAAGTAGAAAAGAGATGAAGGAAAAAAAAGGAAAAACAAGGTGTGTACACAACAAAAAGAAAAGGAAAGACACTGTATGCTTTCGTCTGCCACAGTCACGTTATACAGCTGGAGTCGTACGTTGCAATAAACAATGCAATATCTTCCAGCTGTTCGTCATTATAAGACGACTCTCACCTCGAGCCGTTAATGTGCTCTTGTTCCCCTTCAAGAACGTGTGACTTAAGACATGAGTGGCAACATGACCTGTTTTGGACACCTCATTCTATCTGCTTACCTATTTGACAATCTCTCTCTCTCTCTCTCTCTCTCTCTCTCTCTCTCTCTCTCTCTCTCTCTCTCTCTCTCTCTCTCTCTCTCTCTCTCTCTCTCTCTCTCTCTCTCTCTCTCTCTCTCTCTCTCTTCTCTCTCTCTCTCTCTCTCTCAGACTTTTCTGGCTCCCTCTCTCTTTCTCTTTCTCTCCCCCTTTCTCTCTTTGACTCTCAGTCTGTCTGTCTGGCTCTCTCTCCTTCTCTCCCTCCCTCGCCCCCTCTCCCTCTCTCACCAGCCTCCCCTTATCCTCCCACTAAACCTCACAGGAACAACAATAATTACATCTCCCTTTTATAGCCAACAAGGGGGACATCCATTACACTGAGCAGGACGGTCGAGTCTCAAGTTCCAGATACATAGGAAGTTTAATCATGGAGACGATCGCGGGAAAGCACTGTCTTGCCTAGAGCCCGAGCTTAAGATGGTCGTTTAGGGTTCTGTGCTTAAGGTGGAAGTTATAGGGGGGGAGGGGGGGGGGATTTATCTGCTCTCAAGGGCGGATCTACAGATGGTCTTTCCGGTGCTTTCTGCTGTCTCTTTTAGGCTGGTCTATTACGGTTGGTGGGGGATTCGTTTACTTGTTTCCCCTTATATCATCTCTCTCTCCTCTCTCTCTCTCTCTTCCTCTCTCTTCCTCTCTCTCTCTCTCTCTCTCTCTCTC